ATCTTAATATAATATGAATCAAAAACGACACTTATTGAATGGCCGGTATTTACTATGTGTCGTTTTAGCCCTGATTCCCACTTAAAAATGTAAATCATACGGAAGTCTTTTTAAATCACATGATAAAGATTGCATTTATCACGTTTTAATTTTATGTCTATTCTGATTGGAAATCCGATTTAAGCATCATATAATTAACAACTTATCCCTAACGTTAGTTTTCAGAATTACTTTTAACTTTACTGTAGTCGATTGAAACAGAACAGCAGAGTGCAAGGATTTAATCGTTTAGATATTAAAAGTTTTTACTCAAACTACTTAACAAAGAAAGATAAAACATGTCAACTGAAGCGCGTCGCCGGCTCATGCGTGATTTTAAGCGCCTTCAAAATGACCCACCGGGTGGTATCTCTGGCGCACCTTGCCCTGATAATATTTTATTATGGAATGCAGTCATCTTCGGTCCTGGTACGTTACTTTCTGAACTTTAGATTTTATTTGTTTCAGATTTATTTCTTGAAATCAACGATCGGTTCTTAAGCATTTATGTAATGGTGCCGCAATTGTTTCTTTTTATTTCGACTATGTCTTTACTTAGTTCGTTTAAAGAAAGTTTATTAGTTATATATAGCAAATTTTATTACGAAAAGATATGATTTCAGTTTAGTCAGCCACATAAAAAGATATATTAATATTTATGGATCATTTGTATAGATAATATTTGAAAATAGCCTCGAAAATTAATCTATTTTTAATATTATTACGTTGAAACACTTTACAATTATAGCTGACACTCCATTTGAAGATGGAACTTTTAAATTGGCTCTACAATTTGACGAGAATTATCCCAACAAACCACCATCTGTCAAGTTCATTTCCAAAATGTTTCATCCAAACGTATATGCTAATGGTGAGCTGTGTCTTGATATTCTACAAAATAGGTGGTCCCCAACATATGATGTTGCGGCTATCTTAACAAGTATTCAAAGCTTGCTCCATGATCCAAATCCAAATTCACCTGCAAATGCCGAAGCCGCAAATTTGTACAGGGAGAATCGTAAAGAATATACAAGAAGAGTAAGAGAGGTAGTTGAAAGTTCTTGGGAATGATGAAAAATTATTTGGCCTGTACTGTTTTTATATTTAGTTGAGAAATTGGGCAGATTTTTCTGGTTACTATAGCAATTTAATAATCAAGTTGAACATTTATAATCACACATTTCTCCTTTTCTTTTTACATAGTATTTCTTTTCAATAACAAAATAAAAGGATGCTTGCTTGTAATAAAAATGTTAAATACAGGGTTTATATATACTTATGATTATTAAGGATGTGTAGAAATCTTTTTTTTTTTAAAAAAAAAAAGAAATGAGAACTATTACATAAAAGACAGGCTTTAGTTTTTGTGTAATTGTTTTACACATGTCGTTCAGCAATACAGTATTATTTATTTTAATATATGTGCCATCTTTTTTTCCTCTACATTTATACTTTAATAGAAGTCATTATACGAATCAACCGTATTCAAAAGTTTAAATATAAATCCAGAATGACAAATTAATTATATGGTTACCGTAAATGTTAGTCCTATAAATTACAAACAAATATATATATATATTATAATAAAAAAATAACATTTATAATGTAAAATACATAATCTTGTCAAAAAAGATATTTATGTGCAAAGTCCATTTCAAATAAGACCGGAAGCCTTGAGATTCATTCTTTGAACAATATCATTTACCGAAGCCACGATAACGCGCATCTGCTTTGTATCCTATTATTTGAATACATTAAGTTATAATTAATGATCATTCACACACTAACACAATAGTGAGAGCTTACCGTAGCATGCGTAAAATGAACATAAATATGTTTTTCATCATTGTTATTCCGAGACAAAAATTTGCGTTGAAAGAATTTTGAAACACTTTGAAATTTGTTATCCCCTGTTTAAAAAGAAATTTGTAATTTGTATATTATTTATTTTATTACATGTGACAAAGAAGACATGCAATTTGAATATTGCAAACCTTGATATTCAGGAAAATAGTCTTTAACCTTAACTTTAACATCTTCGAGTTTATGTTTGAGAATATCAATCTTATTAAGGAACAAAATAATGTGGGTGTTTATCATCAATGGGTTATTACAGATTTCCTCAAATAACTGGATAGAATCAACCATGCGATTTATATCAGAATCTTCTAGTGTTTGGTCAAATGCTGATATAGCAGCCATGAAAATAATGGCGTTAACATCATCAAAATAAGGACTAGTTGTTATATAGAAATTAGAAGAATTAGACAAATTAAACGATAAATTCCAAATTAACGATAAATTCCAAATTGAAGACTAAATCAAGATAAGATTTACAAAAATAACTTACGCCCAAAAGTGACGTTGGGAACGATGGCCACCAACATCAAAAATCCTAAAAATTCAGAGATGCCATTAGCAACATTGATTCCAAAACAGATTGAAACACAAGTTCCTTACCTGTATACTACATCAGCTATTTCAAATCTATGCTCGGCAACACCAACTGTTCGTATGCGAGCTTGAAGAATGTCTTCATCAGTCGGTAAATAGTTATCTTTACCAAACCGTTCTACATTATCCAAAAAGCTTGGTAAAATGAAATATCATAAATGTTATATTTCATTATGTAGATGTGTAATTTAGTTACATAAAACAACTTACTATTTTGCGGAATCCTGTAACCCGATTTCACTCGCCGAATTATAACATTGTTTGATAGCAGGGTCGTTCCATAAAGCCATAACAGTGTTAATGTTTTCCATGAATAAATCTTGTGAATTATCGTCCAATTGTTGATCCCTAATGGCTGCCTGAACTGTGATAGAATTTCGATTCAACGTATTCTTTATCGTGGTCAGATTGATAATTCTATCTAAATGTTGTTTATTTTCAGGTTTAATAGTATATCCAAGAGTTACAAGAGCATTTGCCAGAGCTTTAATAGCTGTAAGTACGTTAAGGTGAACTATACGGCGGTACCGTTGACGTTCGTCTGAAAGCCCTTTACCATGAATAATTTTTAGTTGCTTAAGAACGGTCGTTTTTCCACTTTCTGAGGAACCTGTGGAAATCATACATTTTGAATTAGAAATAGTAATCAATCGATAGTTTTCTTTTTTTTTTTTTTTTTTAGTCACGCTAACCTAATAATAATAACTTCGCTGTTTTTTGTTTATCTCTTTCTTCCCTTTCGGCTTTTAACTGTTTATCAATGGCATCACTACGTTTTTTCGCTTGTTTTTCTAGATTTACACGTTTACGTTTTTCTTCTGGAGTTTCGTTGCCCGGTACGTACGGTCTCAAAGGATCGCCCATATCGTTTATACTGGCAGATTGTGTTGATGCCATTGCTTATTTTTTATTACTTTTTTTTAATAATTTCAAATATTAAAAAATAATTCCACTAGTTTTAAAAAAGACAAGTTTAATTACATAAAGTTCTTTCGTGGTATATGTTTATCCATTTAATAATATTCTTCTACATAAATGTCATATTGTTCATATTCTTCATTAGTGATTTCCAAAAATGACTCATTTTGTTTCCCCAAAAAAGTTTATATTGTTATAAGATGTACACACACAATTAGTTCCTTTCCATTTTAGTTTAACACGAGATGACTTTTTTTTTTTTGCTAATTAAATCGTTGTACACATTATTAAATTATGTCTAGTAGCGGTAGTCCACTCGAAAAATTATTATGCTCTTTATTTTCAAATGTATGTTAACTATTAAACAAAAATTTCATAACATTTATGTATATTATGCAAATGATGGGGAAATGGGTAATAGTATACACGATTTTGATCTCTAATATACTGTATTTTGCTTAATTTTCCTTTTTTTGTTTTTGACAAAAAAAAAAAAAAAAAAAAAAGTATATAAATGCGAATAATGAAAAAAAAAAAAAATTTAAAAAAAAAAAAAAAAAAAAAGAGGCACTAAAAAAAAAAATAATTTATAAATATTATGTAAATAAAGGAGAGTACTAGAACCAGCTAGCCCTAAATAAAAGAATGGCTAAAAATTTAAGCTGAACTAAAGTTCGGGGTAATCGGTAAATTGGGCTGCTTTTCTATTCACCTTGATCAATAGTAGAAAAAAAAAAGTTTGCAACACAATGTCAAATCTATACAAATGTTTCTAATATAATTGTTGTTATATCTCCTCCTTTTTTGTTTCAACCTCACTGTTCTTTTCAGCATCTGCCTTATTTTCACTGCTATTTTCACTGTTCTTGTTTTGTATTACAGTCGAAAAAGGCGGCTCATCTCCTCCCCAAAAGATCATAATTTCTCCTTCATCAGATAACATAGTGCTTCTAGCATTAGTACTAGCTGAGCTCACCACACTTTCTCTCTGTAATTCAGGTGATTTAGGATCTTTACTATATACCTCATCACTACCGAATAGTCCAAATGACTGTCGCCCTTCTATTTGATCTTGGGATTCTTGTGATGGAGAAGTAAGATGATGCTGCTGTGATATTTCTTGAGTTTGTGGGCGAGTTGATTCCGTTGATGGTCTTTCTATATCAATACTAGGCAGTATATTATTCGAACCAGTATCAGTTCCAGGTTTAGTCGGACTACCCGGTGTAGATCCTACTGAAGGCGTGCTCAAGAAAGATTTTGCTGTTTTTGGAGTGTTAGGACCACTAGTTCCATTGTATGTTGATTGTGAAGAGCTTTTTGAGGAGTCTGAACTGCTGCCATTTGATTTAATTAGATTCAATTGAACAATTGCAGGTTTGGCACGTGTTGCCGTTATTACAGTTGTTGTTGGTATAGTTTTAGTCGCTTGCAAGATTGTACCAACTTCTGAGCTCGGGTCATCATCTTCTACAAAATTAATTAACGTTTCAGAAGTAGAATTCTTAGGCAATGGACTACTTAGTGGTGTAGTTCCCGCGCTAACTATTGAAGTACGCATTCTATCTGCATCTTGGGATGGCGGTATGTATAAAATCGGAATATCATTTTCAGCATACGCTGAACTGACTTCTTCACTATTATCCAATTTAATGCCTTTACTTTGATATTTTCGTTTGTACAAGAAGTATCCAGCAGCAGCCAAAACCATTAAACCAAGGATACCACAAATCACACCCGGTATTGTTTTACTGTTTCCATTATCCACATTGGGACTAGGGGTACTTATTGTGCTATTACAAAATGCTACTGGGCATTTATTACATGTCCTCACGGTGAGAACACAAGTAGTATCCTGCGGACAAGTAGGACATTTTGGAACATCTGAACATACCACACAATCGGAATCAGGAGTAACTTGTAATAAGAAAATATTAACGGATTTGAATTAATTGAATTATTCAACGCTGTTCTTATAATGTATTAATAATCACAAATTTAAAGAATAAACTTACTATCTGCCCTTGCCAGCGGTACATCTATTATCATGATTGCTATATATATTATACCAATCAAGACCCATGGTTTTATTTTCGATAAAAGGAACAAATTTAACATGTTTTTATGTTGTATAAAATTTCTCATGAAGTAGACGGTAGAAGCTGAGAAAGGAAAATGAATGTAAAAAAGTTTTGTGAATTATATGCCTGTAAATTTAAGAAATACCAAAAAAATTAGACAAAGAAATCGTTTGAAAAATTGAATGTCAGAAGGTAATGTTTCATACCAATCGTTCTGAAAGGGCTTAAGAAGCCAGGTAAAGAAATGGTAGACGGGAAATACTAAACCACATCGACGAAGTTCGAATAGACAACAAAGGAAGGTCATAATATTATCAACAATTGTTTCACTACCTAATTAGTTCAGACCCAATCATTATGCCACTTTAATAATGTTATGCACCTATCAGCATTAGCGCATCATGTTGTAATACCTGATTCCTTACAAAGGAATAGGCTTCTAGGCATTTCTATAAATAGCCTACAATTCAATAATTCAAAATATTTCAAATTTTAGGTATCTCAACAAACGCACAAAGGACAAATAGTGAAACTTGCTGAAACGTCACATGAATCACATGAAATACCTTCAACATCACTAATGGCAGACGTAACTTTACAAAATGCTCATATCAGCGAAGGTTTTTTGTTTACTTTTGAGGGATTATGATCTATTCTTGGACAATATAATAATATTGACAGGTTGAAATTTTTATTAGACGAGGCTGCATTATACGATAGACAAATTAGATTATGGGGTTTAGAAGCTCAGCAACGGTTTGTGACATGAATTTTAATTATCTATTTCAGTTACTGCAATTGAATTGAATTTAGTTGATCTTGTATCGATTGTATCCTCTAGAATGCGTGTTTCATCCATTCTAATCAGTGGGATGCGAGGTTTAAGTAATGAGATATGCAAGAATTTGGTTCTCGCAGGGATTGGCTCCATTACAATAATTGATCATAATTTAGTTATGGAAGAAGATCTCGGCGCACAATTTTTTGTGACCGAAGGAGACATAGGAAAGAATGTATGCAACCATTTTTAGCACAATTATTTAAAGTATGACAAGATTGTGACGCGAA